TCTAAAATATGTCTATATACATCCATACGTAGCACATATTTTAAAAAGACCTATATTTAGAAACGGAGGAAGTACATACATTTGCACTAAAAAACACAAATGCGTGGGCAAAATACATAAACAGAAGAGTATTTTTTTTCTTATAGATTTTGTTCGAGTTGTGCCAACCATGATCTAACAGTGCATGGGAAAATAACACTATTGGAAATGACTAGCATCTAAAGTTCATTAGTGTCTTGTTACACATGTTCGAAGAATTCTAACGCTGGTTGTGCATCCAGTCTATTAAAGCCAAGCAAAGAGAGTAAACCCAGTACATGCAAAATATCGTGCAATCCTTCGACGAAATACAACAAACATACTGCATCAAGGAACGGATCACGCGACGTCCTGCGTGATCCTGATAGACACGATATGCGCGTCCCTCATTGTGTCCCTCGTCGCTTGGAACCTCGACAACAACGCTGTCATGACAGACACACACGCACGTGCGCGCCACAGCAAAGATTCATGTCAGAACTAGACTACAGCCGGATAAATGCTTTTGCTTCAGGTCATGATCTTGCCAGATCTAGACATACCGCCGTTGGGCATCAGGTTGGTGCTGAGGGCGACGCCAACCGGGGTGAGATACACCCTGGGAGCAGGTTGGAGCGACCCCGGATCCATAACTCGGCATTAAGAATATCTGCACACACGACGCCGCAGTCATTGAGTGCCCAAGGAAAACATTGATCTTGTGGCAAGGTGAGATAATGAACAAACTTAAGGCGACATATATTTATACTAATCTGTTTTATTTTTAAAAATCATTATATCATGAGATATTAGCTAAATATTATTTGATGATATAAGTGTTATCATACAACCTCCGCCTCGAATTAATCGACTTAGAGTTATCTAGGTACCGAGTACAAGTTCAATTAGTACTCTTCTATTAGATCTAACAACAATAACCAAAACTAATATAAAACTCAAAGTGTATTATTATACAGTTCAAACGTCCATCATTAAAAATACGAAGTGTATAAGTAGAACAACATTTGCAATGGGAATAGCATTTATCTTTTTCTTAAAAGTTGTTAGAGAGATTTCCGTTAACTAGATCACATCTAGTATGTTCATACACGTTGGTTCCTATTTGTAGTATCTTTGAATACTGTGGTAGAGGTTTTACGATGCACACTTGCAATAAATACCAAATAAAAGAGGTTTCTAGAGTAGGATTGTCTAGTTTGGTTGTAATCGATTTTTTTTTCTAGAGTGTAGGTATGAACTAGTGGTTTGCCCTTGATTTATGTTCTCGCACTATGTAATTGGCACTGCTCATTGTTTTCGTCTACTTGGGTTCCCCTCATTCTAGTCCTTGAGAGTTTATGTTTACCAGCGTGCGTGATTGCGTCGTTCATGATCGCATCACTTTTCAAGCCTAAGTGATAATCTTTACCTGGAATGTAAATGAGTATTACCAGCAAAAGGGTCCACGCATTGCAACAGGTAATAAAATCGTGGTCTTCAAATCAAGTTCCAAATATTTGCTGTCCATGTATATACCATATCTGAATATTTGTGCACCAACCGACGCTCATGCGAACGTAAGACACGTGCATTCGAACATGCTAACAATGGATTGATGTTGGACTTGATCCTTAATGCGTGCATTTTTTTTGAGTAAATGCTCTGATGCATGTATGAGAAGGAAAAGAAAAGGTCTGTCTCACGATGGATGAAAAACTAAAAGGCCATATGATATACGAATAATTCGTTGGAAAACTCATTTTTTTCACTTTACATGTGGCTGGATGAGTAATTTACTTCAACTTTAGGAGTAGTTTCATTGACAAACAATAAATTCAGAAAAAAAATAACGAAGAGGGTTTTTCACTTACGGGTGGCTGGGTGGGTAATTTACTTCAACTTTAGAACTAGTTCCAATGATAGGCGAAAATTAAGAGAAAAAAATTAACGAAGAGTTTTTTCACCTATCATGGCATGGTGGGTAATTTACTTTAACTTTATGAATAGTTTAGAGAAGGTGGATGGACCCACACAATTATTAGGTAATAGAATTTTTTAGAGAAATTAGATAATAAATAGATGTGAGGGTCTTGTTCTACTAGTATTTTCCCATATGCATTTTTTTAGACAACCGAGATGCATTAGGTAATACTCCCTCCGTTCCAAAATAGATGACCCAATTTTATATTAACTTTAATACAAAATTAATACAAATTTGGGTCATCTATTTTGAAATGGGGGGAGTAGATAGATGTGAGGGTCTTATTCTACTAGTATTTTCTAGATGCAAACGTGGCCTCAAGTTCCCATACGCGGGAGCAACCAACCCAACCAATCAACAGGGGACCAGGAGCAACTAACTGAGGAGCGATCGTTCGCAGCCTCCCCCAAGGTCACTTGGGGTGGGCTGAGAGCATGGCCCGCTCTTAGCGGCCGCCGTGTGTCGCGCTCTGGGCGCTACCTTTGGATCTTATCTTGTTAATTTTTCGCATGTGCTTTTTGGCTTTTTAGATGTTTTTTTCCAGAAAATATTTCACCTTTTTGGTTTTCCACCGGTCTTCTTTAGCTTGTGGACAAAATAAATTAAAAAGATAAATTTTTGCGTGAAAAAATATGTTTTTTCCTTCGGCAAGAGGCGGAGATTTGCTTTAATGAGAGGAACGAAAATAACACGTTTTCTTTCTTTCTCCTTGGTGAGAGGCATGGCCGTGCCTCTCGGAGGCGAAAAAAACATATCTTTTTCTTCCGCGAGAGGTATGGATTTGCTTCCGTGAGAGGACACGGCCGTGTCTCTCGGAAACGAAAAAAAAAACATGTTTTCATTTCTCTTCATTCCATGAGAGGCACGATTTTGCTTCCGCGGGAGGTACCGTCGTGTGTCTCGAAAAAGGAAAAACGTGTTGCCTCTCAGTAACAAAAAAATCATATTTTTTCTTCTACGAGAGGCTTCGTCCGTTATTTTTTAAGAAAAAAAGGTTCGTCAAAACATATCAACATGAAATCTAGTTTTGAAGATCTCGATGCGAGTAATCCAACGGTGAAAACGGATCGAGATTTAGACGTATGGTTAAAAAGATTAAACGTTTTGAATAAATGAATCTACCAAAGAAAGAAAAACTTCCAAATTGCGACAATTGTGTCACTCGTTGCAATATGGGATGACGGAGTGACCTTTGAAAGAAGTACTCATCAATTAGTGACTTGGCATGGGACCACCTATTTGGTGCATCGCCCACCGCGAAAACACGGGGCGTGACCCCCGCTCCCCTGCGCCTTTTTGGCTGATCCATGACCTGCATTTTCATTTCTTTTCCTTGACTTTTTGCCTTTTCTTTTTAATTGTTTTTTATTTAAATTAATTTGGCATTAAAAACATCATTTTTTTAAATGTTCAAGAAATCACAACATGTTTGTGAATTCAAAAAATGTGTATGATTTTGAAAAATGTTCGCGTATTCAAAAAAGGACATGAATTTGAATATAATTTTGTGAATTCAAATAATGTTCATGAATTTCTAAAACATGTTCACAAAAGGCCAAAAATGGTCATGAATTTAAAAATTCCTCCCAAACAGTTTTAAAAAAATATCATCAATTCAAAAAATGTGCGCTGACTAAAAAACTGTTCATCCATTTTAAAAAATACGTTCATCCAAAATAAAAAAATGTTTCATGGATTTCTAAAATTGTTCCCAAATTTTAAAACATGTTAGTTTCAAATATAATCGCAATTTTAAAGAATGTTCATGAATTGTGAAAAAGTTCACGAATTCCAAAAATAGAAGAAGAAAAGAAAATAAAAAAGGAAAAGAAACTGAAAGAAAAACGGGGAGAAAAAACAAAGAAGAAGAAAATAAAAAAAAGGTTTACGAAAGGTTCTCCCAAAGCCGGTGGGGAAGAAACTCCAAATGAGCCGGCCCAAACACAGGATCGGGCGCTCGACGGGGTGTGCGCTAGGTCGCTAACGCGCTACCTAGGCGCCAAATAGGAGAACCCAATCAGCGGCGTCCCTCCGGGAGATCCCCGCCGGTGTCCTCTCGCCGGCCGCCTCCCCTCTCCTTTCGTGGCAATCCTCCCACGCCTCCTTCCCTTTCAATAGACTGATCGTTGTGGGTGGAAGGAAGTATCTCGATCTATCTGTTTATCGGCACCTGTAATTAAGCTTTGTTTAGGCAGAGTAAAAATGCTCTCAAGTCACTGTTTGGTGATTTGATGAACCATCATGCTTCCTTTGGCACACTGCTAAACAAACAGACAGTGAACTGAAGATGCGCCCGCAGCTTCAGAACAGTGAACTTTACCTTGAATGGTAAAGTCCCTTGTTCTACTCCTTGTTTTTATGTCTTGAATGTTCTCCAGCATGTAAAAGTTCTGGCTGCAGCTTCAGAACAGTGAACTTTACCTTGAAGATTTTGTGTTTTCGCTTGGAAACATACCGTCAGTTGTTCTGGCTGCAGCTCTGAATGACCGACACACTGAAATCAGAGCTCCAGCAGCTGGAGATGGGCAACACCGTCAGTGGATGACGAACTTCAGACTAACTAGAAATCATTAAGCTTGTTGAAATTGTAATGTGAAACTCGTCTCTGTTTCCAATCATAAGGGCCTCTTTGGTACACGGGATTCTGAGAGCGCAGGAAAGGACAGACACAAGAATATGATAAACATACAAGCACAAAACAGAGGACCTTTCTTTTAGAGAATACAGGAACTTTTTAAACTTACATGTTTGGTTCACAGGAGCAAGAAAAACGCATGAATCCTGGTAAACAGTGGAGAAAAATGCATTTTGTAAACTTACATGTTTGTCAAATCAAATGCAAACCCACCATAGTACATGCTTCATGTGTAGTATATGAACTATAAAAAGAGGTCCAAGTGGATTGTACAATAATACCCAACGGGGCAAGGGAATTCAGCCGGTTATTCTAAGAAATACACATATGGCTAGTTCGAATAATCCGTCCATATTACAAGGCTCTTTACATACTAACAGCGGAAGGTTGTTCCAGATTGTAGCAAGTGATGGAGTCCTGAATCCTGATTGCCAAGGAGGGCTCTCTTCCTGCTGGCATCCTGTTGATGCTAAGCCTCATCTCAACTGCATTGTGCAGCTTGCGAAGTACCCTGTCGGTGAACTGAAAGTAAGCCTTCCTCGTGACCGTGCTGCATATGAAGGTTGTGAAAACAGTGGAGATTCCGAATGCAAACCCGAGCAGTGTAAACAGACATGTGAGCATGTCAAATCTGAGAGGATGCTTCCGGTGCCGGTGTTTGTCACTCTCGGGTCCACAGATTCCGTCAAGTGGATGCCCACAGAGATCATTGTAAGACAAATTCAGGTAGGACAAATGCGTTAGTGACGTCAAGCTGTGGGGAATTGGACCTGATAGATCATTCGATGATAGATCGAGTGCCTCTAACATGAGCATATTCCCCACTTCACCAGGGATACTTCCTCCAATGCGGTTCCTTGACAGATTCAAATAAAGTAATCCAGATAGAAATCCTATTTCACTTGGAATCTCACTAGTTAACAGGTTTGCTGAGAGATCAATGCCCTTCAACAGGTATACTGCCCCCGAGGTATTTGTGTACACAGAAAAGTAAGCACGGTAGGTACCCAACGCGTAAGTGTTCCCAGGAACCTTTAACTGAACAAAAGGAGATGTTATCTGGTTTTTGTTGAACAAGTGGAAAGCTGTTAAATTTCCCAGAAACCGTGGTACAGGGCCAGAGAGTTTGTTGTCACGAAGATTCAAATCTTGCAGATCAGGAAGTTGGGACAGTTGTTCAGGTATTTCACCAGAAAACTGATTGAGCCCTAAACGCAAAAATACCAGAGATTTTAGACTGTCACCTATCCATCTCGGTATGTTTCCTGACAAATTATTTTCTGCCAGATCAAGTAACGTCAACATTTGACATGACTGCAATGAGTTGGGCAATATTCCAGATAAGCCGTTCTTGCTGAGATCTAGTGACATAAGGGAATTTAGAGAACCAATGGTGGATGGTATTTCTCCCCATAAGTTATTGCTTGAAAAGTCTATGACATACAGTTTCGATTCCTCCCGCCAACAATTGGGAAGCTCTCCAGAAAGGTTGTTATCAGATAGGTCAATCAGTTCCATTGACATCATGTTGCACAAATCTGTTGGGATTACTCCACTAATGGAATTTTTTGACAGAGATAGGTAATGCAAATCTTTATCTCCCAAGCTTTGTGGCAATGAGCCCGATAAGCTGTTGTCAGATAGATTCAACACTCGGATGCTAGGTGGCAAATCTGGAATGTTTCCCTCAAGTTTATTACTCCCCATGATCAGAGTTGTGAGCTTTCTCGATTGCTCCAAGTTTGCAGGCAACTTACCAGTTATGTTGTTTGTTGAGACATCTAAGCTAGTCATTGATGACGAGAAGTTCCAGATCCAGTCAGGTAATGGACCCCTGATGCCTGCACTGCCTAGATCGATCATCTCGATTCTAGTTTGTGATCGCAACCAAGTTGGAAACTCTGGTCCTACAAGGCAATCTTGCAGCCCAAGATTTATGAGCTGAAAAGGTGGCACCCAACTTTGTTTGACTACAATCTTGAACGAATTTGATGCTAAATCTAAAGTATCCAATCTTGATAAATTGGCAAAGTGGAGTGCTGATAATGTGCCTTTAAATTTATTGAAGGATATATCCAAGTATATCAAGCTTGATAGGTTACCAATACTGCGTGGAACAACTCCAGACAGTGAGTTCCGGCTGAGGTCAAGAACTCTTAAACTTGACATGACCTCAAGCCAACCAGACAGGCTTCCAATTAAGTTGTTACCAGCAAGGTCAAGGATCTGCAACCGCTTCATACAGGGAAACAGGCTTTTGGCTGCTTCTGCAATATCTCCTGACAAGATGTTCCCGGACAAACTGATTTGAACCAAGTTGCACAACCTACTAGCTGATGTTGGTATTGCTCCAGTCAACTTGTTGTCCCCTAGCCCTATGAACGTAAGTGAAGTCAGTCTGCCAAGTTCATCAGGAATCATGCCTGAAAGCCCACAACTAGTCATGTCCAACTCTGAAAGGGCAGATAGCTTGACAATCCAATTCGGCATGGAGGAATTCAGATCGTTATTCTTCAGATTAAGCAGCTTAAGGGAAGTGAAGTTAACTTGACAAAGAGAAGTGAGGTCGGTGGCAGGAAGACTAGCATCATTCAGGCGAAGCACTTGGAGTGACGGGAGCATGTTCACTGCCTGCAGCCAATCCACGGAGGCAGCAAGATAGGACCAACTGAGGTCCAGATACCTCAGGGAATTCAGCTTGGAAACCCAATGGAAATTATCCACAATGATCCCAGGACCTCCAAATGAACCCAGATCAAGGTAGCTGAGTCTGGACAAATTACCAAGTTGAGGAGGAGCCGTTCCGCCAAAACCGGCATGCGACAGATCAAGATACTTCAACATCTTGAAAGAGCCTATGAATTCCGGGAGGTGCACCAATCTGGTCAAACCCACCAAAGATGGACTGATCTCACCTTTGAGGGAGTGACCACCAAGGTCCAGCTTGACGACATGGCCGGTCTTCTTGCTGCAGCTGATGCCACCCCAGTTGCAGCAGTTTTCTCCTTGCCACGAGCTCAACCTCCTATCAGGATCGCTGATGGTAGCGTTGAAGGCAGCCAGCACATCCCTCTCCCCGGAGATGCACGCAGCTGAGCCCTTAATGTTGATCACAAGGCACCAAAGGGCCAGCGATGTGAGCAATCCAAGCATCTTATGGCCTCCCGTGGCTGGGGACCAAACTATAAGGCTTAAAAATTAAGCTAACCGGGGAATACAAAAGTTGGTCATCCGATGGCAGATCTGCTTGCACGGCAAGGTGTGCAACACATCTGTTTGAATTCAAATAACTGGTGAGATCCCGAGGAGATTCTTGCAGGCCGGGAGGAAGTGAGAGACAACCTTATATTATATACTACAAGCACTAACATATACATCCTCTGCCGGCCGGCCGGCAGACGGCAATCAGCATATGGGCAGGAAATACTCCATACTCCATACGCAATGAAAGGAATACTCTATACGTACTCATCTTATATATGTAGGTCAAGCAAGCTAGTATATGGGCAGGAAATCCACATGACCGCCTGTCTTTGAACAATTAGTGCAAATCGATGTTATTAAGCCCTCCCAATCGCACCTACTAATGCTGAACTATGTGCGATGATGACATCGTACACATGGTATGAAATTCGAATTGTGTGCCCGAAAATAAAATGTGTGGGATCGTTAACCCATCATGAATGGGAATCCTCTATAACACTAAGCTCCCTAGTTTTACGGAGTCCACATTATTTAATTCAGGTCTTCAATAAGAATTGGGTTACCCGATTTTGACCGGGTCAACAATTTCCCAAAGATATCTCATTCAATTCTTTTATACTATACACCATGCTTCCAAATTTTTAAGGCCTCACAATTAATTAAGGTGTTCAATTTAGGCTTGGGTCAACCGATTTTGACCGGGTCAACACTTTCCTAAGCTCTCCCATTTAATTATTTTATTCACTGTGTTCCGTAATTTTGAAGCTCTTTCATCCAATTGAGGTATTTAATTTTGAATTTGATTTACGATTTCGACGGGGCCAACAATTTTTCAAATCAATCAGCAGCAATAGGCCTGTAAAAGCATATCAACCCCCACCCTCCCAGCACTTGAAAAAAAAATCAACGTCACCATGTGATATTGTGGCACCAATATAGTAGTTCATGCGACCACCCACACAAAAATATTCACACATAAATATAGGTTGGTTAGTGGATAACATAGAATCACACCATTAAAGGCTCATCAAATCACTGCATTATAAATAAAAATAAAACACACTATCATCTCCCCCACCCACCAAACTAACTATTTCATCTGTTCTAAAATATAAGGGGTATAATTGTATTGAAAGTCACTTTGGCCAAGTTTAGAGAAAAAATATCGACATCCACAATATTAAACAAAAAGGTATGGAAATTCATTTCATGATGAATTTAAAAATACCTTGATATTATGAATTTAAAAATACCGATTTGATATTATGGATTTTGGTATATTTGCTCAAACCACCTGAACCGCAGTTCGGTAGGCGAAACTGCAAGGTAATTTGCACGGCGTCACACAAATGCAAGTCCAGTTCCGTCCCTCCCTCCCTCCCTCCGGTGCACCAGGTTGTAGAACTATGAACAGATGGATCAAACAAGGAGCTATGAACATATGCCTAAACTGCCACTGCAGACAGCAGCAATGCAATGCAGGACCAATTCGAACACTTTGCTAAATCTCGAGGGTGTGAGCGCACCAGTCAGTTGATATGTCAACCAAATTTCCTGAAATGAACACACAATTCAGTAGACGAAACACCAGGTTGGTACGTAATTTGCACGGATTCGTCACACAAACACGCCATGAACAGATGATTCGCCGTCCAGATAAATCCACCGCAGCCGAAAATTTCAAGCCCGCCGCACGCACAAACCAGAGAGAGAGAGAGAGAGGCACCTGCAAGGCTGGAGCCCGGCGCCGGCAGCTCGACTCCCGACGCGCTGCTGCCCGCACCTGGCCCTCTTGCTCGGCGCCGGCTGCTTCTTCACCGCCGCCCGCCGTCGCTCCTTCTCCGCGTCCTGCTTCCGCGGCCGCGTCCTGGGGGCGGGGGCGGCGAGACCAAGTCGTGGCCTGAAGGCTCGCATCGGGTTGGGGGCGAGACGAAGCGGCGGCGGCGGCGGCTTCCATCGGGTTGGCGTGGACAGGTGCGCTTACGTGAATCCCGGGCCGTCCGTTTGGCTCCTCCGAGATCTGAAGGTTGAGAGCCGTCGTCCGTTTGGCCCTGGGAGACCTCTTTTTAAGATGTTTATATTTGAGTTTTGTGGCTGGGGTACACTCGCATGACTCAAGTTGTAATTCTTGCAAACATTTTAGCTGATCAATAAAGGCCTGGCAAGTTTTTCTGAATTTCATTTTGAATTTTAATAGAGAATCTACAGTCGAATGCTTCAAACCCCCTAAAACGTCCGCTCGGACTGCCTAGTCAAAAAAGGAAAAGTAAAATGTGACCGAAATGGGCGTCTCAAACCCCTGAAACGTTCACACGAACTGTCTAGTCAGTGATCGGTCAAAGAAAAATGCGACCCAAACGGGCCTCTCAAATGCCTGGGCTGACCGGCACCCATCATATCCAACCCAAATGTAGGGCAGATATGGGAAGGCCTGGGCACGTCCGCCACGCCAGATCCGACCCACGCTGTACCATCCCGACCCCATATATATTTGCCCCCATCCACTTCCTGGACCAAACCCTTGCCACTCCACTCTCCTCACCTCCGCGCTCAAGCTCACTTCCGGCAAACTCCGGCCTTCTCTGACATGGCAGGCAGCGGATCCAAGCCCTCCGTCAGCCTATCTTCAAAGTGGGATCTCATCCCAGTCGAACTGGAGGAAGAGATGTCCGTCCGCATTGCCCTCCGTCGTGCCCGCACTGCCCTTCGTCGCGCTCGCGAGGAGAATGCCCGACAGAGGTCGGACTCGATCCACCGGACGTAGTCGTTGCCCATGCGCGTCGGGAGAAGAGGGCGGCACGGCGCTGCTTCGGCTGGTGGGGAAAAGAAATGGGCGGTGCGGCTTCGGCGGCGGGAACAAGAAAGGGGCAGCGCGGCGCTACTTCGGGCGAGGTATGCTCGGGCGAAACTCATGCTGGTTCATTCTTGATTTTGTCCCGGAGTAGGTTCGGGTGAAACTCATGCCGGATTGTGTGCATTTTGTAGATGGATTGGAGTTCGTCCTTGTCGTCTTCGTCTGACGATTCGGACATAGAAGATTTTATCCTTGACGACGATGATGAGAACCTAGTGTTGTCGCATCTCATCGACGAATTTGAGGCGGGACCGAAGAAAAAGCGGCATGGATCGACGGTTGGCCGACTATGCATTCCCCGCAACCGAGCTCTCGGTGACAAAATGCTCATGAAGGGCTACTTCGCTGAGGTACTGACATATCCGGCTCACCTCTTTCATAGGCGATATCGAATGCGTAGGTCACTTTCCGTCCGCATCATCGACGCTTACGAGCAAAATTGCCGTTTCTTCACCCCCGCGTAGGAATGTCGTCGGTTTGATTGGTTTTAGTGCATATAAAAAAATTGGCAGCCATGAGAGTGATTGCATATGGTGTTCCGCTCGACTACGCGGATGACTATCTTCGCATTGGCAAAGATACAACCATCAAAAGTGTCCGTGTCTTTGCGAAGACAGTAATCCGGGTTTTTGGCCCAGAGTATCTTGGAGCTCCAAACAAAGAGAACATAAAAATGCTCATGGCAATGAACCAAGCAAGGGGATGGCTAGGCATGCTAGGTAGTATTGATTGCATTGCATTGAAGGTGGAAGAACAGCCTGGTGGCTTGGGCAGGCCAATACACTGGCCACAAATGTAAACCCACCATCATGCTTGAAGCCGTGGCTTCACATGATCTATGGATTTGGCATTGCTTCTTTGGTTTTGTCGAGGATATCGAGGGGGCATTTGGTTTGTCGCAAGCTTGGTTTGCCATTGTTCGTGGTCATGCTCGATTCTGAGATAAAAAAATTCCTCCGAAACATCATGACTGCTTGGGACACATATGACATCCGTGCATTTCTTGAGACCTACCGGAAGATGGAGAACCGTGATTCGCACAACCAACTCCAGATGATCTCATTGAGCATCGGTGGCAGCTCTATGGGGAGGTGGGGGGAGATAGATCCCCATTTGTATCCATTTCTATTCGTGTGAGATTTGAACAATTTGGTGTTGTAATAATTATTTGAATCCGAACATTTGTTGTAAGGATGACTATTGTTATATTGTGAGTTGCTTGACCATTTATATATTCGTATGTTGAATTTATTTTAGATTCCATTTGTTTGACATTATTGTGAAATGTGCAATTTATTTGATATTTTATGAAAAAAATTACGCTGCGGCGAGCATTCCAGCCGAACATATCCCACAAAACATTTGCCGGATCTGTTTGGCCTGAGCGCTCGCCACACCGTAATTTTTTTACGGGAGCCCTTATACGCATTTTGTGGGACGTGTAGTTGCCGGATCTGCTAGATGCTAAAAGCGCAACAATGTTATTTCTTGCACATACATTTCAGAAAAAATATGTGTTTTTTCGCAAAAAAAAATCGAACAATTTTTTTAAAAAAATCATGAATTAGAAAAATGTTCATGTATTCAAAAAATTCACAAATTAGAAAAACGTTCATAATTTTTTTAAAAAGTTCGTTGAATTTGAAAGAGGAGGTCACTGACATTTTCTTTTTCTCTTTTACTCGATAGAATAAAAAACATAGATGGGCCGGCGCACTTAGATCATACGGAGGTGGGGGGGAGGTACTGCGCTGTTTGCAAATAACCCATTAAGGGGTGCTTAAGGCGTTGTTTAGTGTTTGGCGGAGTCCAGTCGCATGAAGAGGGGCTCCTATATGGCGTTGCAGACGCCGAGAGCAACTAGTTAACGAGTGCTCCTTCGGGAGTCTCTCACTTGACGCGCTCTCAGCCATTCGCCACGTGTCGCGCTCTGAACGCTTCCTCCGAATTTTATTTTTTATTTTTATTTTTCCACACGTGTTTTCGGCTTTTTAAATGGTTTTTTGGGTTTTTTTGATGTTTTGGTTTTCCCCCAGTTTTTCGTAGCTTTTCGATAAAAAAAATTTACATGAGAAAAATGCGTTTTTTTTCTTTC